AACTATTTGCATTACTGTGGTTAATGATGAATTACATGCAACACAAGCGCATGAATTTTCTTTAATGGTTTTGCTGTCGTTTAACTGATTAAGTCAACTCCAGAGTGTAATGAGGCATGTCCATCAGATGGCGCATGAATTCATGGACTATGCAGTGAGGTCTGTGGTCAATAATTCTTATTGACCTAATGATTGAATTACCCTCAAGGATTGTATCAGTTATAGGGAACACTTGAGGCTGCACTGACCATTCCAGTGTCACCCTCATGTTGTCCCCTCAACAAAACACCCCCTCGCAGGCTGTAACCACCCCATTACAGGTCTAATGCTGCGTTTCCTGTTCCTACAGCTGTGGGATCATTTACCACCTCTTTACCTTGAGCATCTCCCCATTTACCCCCGGCCTCACACTCCTGGTAATGAGACACAAGCCTCCAATGAGTGCTCAGATCACATTGTTCCCCCACCATCTGTGGGATATCAAGTGTGCAGCCGGTGATCCCTGCAGGAGAAGAATGAGTCTTAGTCAGAGCTAAAGTGTCTGCATGGACACTTACACATGATTACATTACTGTGGTGTCACACTGAGTTCAAGGGCTACTTGTTGGGGAACCGAACAGTAAAGTTCTGTTTCAGGAGGACACAGAGTTTTACTGATGATACACAGCCATCTGCTGAGACTTCATTTGGCTTTTCTTTGTGCCATGAAACGGTACAGAACCAAACAAAGAACACAAATACAGAGAGACTGTTCTTTATCAACCCACAGCTGAAAGATGCCATTATGTGCATAATTAGTGGATAGTTATCAGCTGCTCAAAGTTGAGCCCCATGATCATCTCTGATGGAAGAATCATCAGCTTACATGGAAGAATGTCTTTTAGACAAACCGCCTTTTGATGGTGTGTTTACACGTTTGTGTCTCTATTCTACCAACAAATAACATCAGCATTAGTATTCCTGGTACTGGATGTGTACTTACTCCGCCATTCAGGCCTGGATGTCCCAAATTAAACCGCAAAACCGCTTATTTTGTCTAATTGGTTAATGGTCTCTAAATCCAGATTTAATTGTAGACTGATGGAGATGGATAGACGTTTTACAGTGACGATCTGTGTTCTCCAGAACTATAAATCAGAATAGTTTTCCCCTATGCATGCACAGAAAAGACAATTAGTCAGATGGATGTGTAGCCTTATCTTTACTGTGGATCATTCCCACCACACAAACCCAACGACCCTTTAAATTACTGGGACCGAACAAGGCCAGCTAGAGTCGGTAATAAAGAACAGCCAGGCTGATATTTCTGCCATCACAGCAACAAAAGAAGAAAAACCAAAGGTTACCATTATGAGAAAGCATATATATCAGATCATGTCACCAAATAAAATGTGTGATGCTCTACAACAGGCAATAGGCGGCTGTCATACTGCTGTAAAAAAAACAAAAACAAACAAAAAAAACTTTTCCTGCTTTTTCAACCGTAGCATTTAGTTTGTTCAAGCTTTATGTGCCCCAGTAACTGTCTTTTTACGGGTCCCTCAAGTGGCTTACTGGCCTATTACACATTTAAAATGTCGGGGAGATTTAATGTGAATGGTTGAAAGCAGCAAGTGACGCCACACTCAGAACACAAGCTTTTGCTAAGTTCAGAAAGAGTCTGATGTAAATTAAAAAAATCCAACAGAGAGATTCATGTCAAGTAAAAGGGAAGAAGTTTAACACACTGTGGTCAGACCAAAAGTTATACCTGGGACAATTAATTAAATCCTGGGTTAACATATACAAAATATAAAATTAAAAGTAAAAACAGGATCAGTTTTTTTAATTTTAATCTCACACCTGAACCTATAAAACACCAGGACAGACAACTGACAAATCTAAAATGAAATAGTTTCCTTCAACATTCTTCTTCTATTAAAACTTATATACAATCAGCAGGGGGTGATGGTTGAGCAGTGGTTGGTTAAAATCCCCTACGCCTAAACTCCAATCCCTGGTAAAAACTTTAAGTTTGAAAGTTTTTTTTTTGTTGTTGTTGTTGTTTGTTACAACCGGCAGGATCGCCAGCCAGTTGCACCTCGTGTCCTCCTGGAATTAAGTTTTAGGAGTTTATAAATGGTCTGTCGTCCCACTCTGTTTTTTTACATTAACTTTAAATGGCTACACAGTAAAATAAACAGCACCATTTAAATAATGCTTGAGGTAAAGGCAGCACTTTAAAAGTTTGGCATTGCTAAATTGAGTTTAAAAAACTTTATTTGCACTAAACACAAATCATCTTTGATTGTAGAAGTTAACCTCTTGTGTTTGTGTTACGACTCCATTGGTCTTTTTCTTCCACGTGTTCCCCTTGTTGGTGTCTCTCTGCATGTGAATGGGTGAGTTTTTTTTTTCCCACGTGTTCCCCTTGTTGGCGTCTCTCTGCATGTGAGTGGGTGAGATTGGTTGCAGGTGTGTGATTGAGGTGCTTTGACAGATCCAGGTGAATCACATCAGCTGATTTGTCCTCTGTTGGTACGGTACGGTCCAGCTGCTGCAGAGAGCAGTCCATGTTGTCATCGTGCATGTTGTTTGTGCTTGTATTTTATTATGAACTTTAGAATATGTTTGTTTGTGTGCTTGTAGTTTCATGGGAGTCTGGTGAGGGCGCTCTTTCTTACTCTCTTGTTGTGTGATTCCTGCCTATCTTTCCTGTTAAAATGTAAATTACTGTGCAAAGATTTGACTGTCAGCTACTGTGGAAAAAAAACTTTATATAATTTGAACTTGTGTATTCAAACCCATCCACACATCACAGGAGATGTAACACCTATTATTTGTGTGTGTGCGCAGCGTGATAATGAAGTCCCTGAAAATTACAAAAAAGGCAGTAAGTGGTGAAACAGACAGGAGAAAGTCTGTCACTAAAACACAACCCAGTGTCAGGTTTGTCTAAATAAAACACTGCAATTAGATGAAGAAAAATAACTTTTGGCTGCTCACTTTATCAGGGCTTGACACAGTGAATATTTGACACATTCATTTAACATTTTAGAATACAAGCTCTCATATAAACACTCATTAATCCCCAACCCCTGGTCTGGGGACCAGTGCTGGTCCGTAGGTCATTTGGTACCGGGCTGCAGTGGGACACAGTGGGGAAAAAATGTACTTTGATGGTACTGCATTAATTGACCGCAGTAACTGCTGATACAATAAAGTGTTAGATTAGCGTTCCTCATTCAGACAGACCACGTTGATAGAATAGTAAACACCGATTTAGCGTACCACTGTTGTGTCGTTTTCACAAAATGTTTACCAACACAGGCTTCGGGAGGGTCGGGGTTCAATGCCACCCTCTCGAGTTTACTGACATGGTCTGACATCATTAGTCTGTTCCCCTGCCTTTGTCTTTGCTTCAGCACTCAGTGTGACGGACTACTTGTGGCTGGGACAGCTGTT